GTCAGCTGGTATCCAGGCTCTGCTTGTGTGCTCCCCCCATCTCCCCAAATCCACCCACCCACCCCGTTACCCACTGCTTGGGGCTGGCTGGGTGGCAGCACTTCCCAGGAAGAGAGGAAGAGCGGTGGAGCAGCCGTGCGTCCTCCGCTGTTGGGGGTGGGGGAACCGACGCCCAGGGCCTCCCACCTCCCTGGCGCCGATGGGACAGCAGCCCCCACACCCATGGACGCTGTCGCCCCAACAGGCTCCGGGCTTCTGCACCGTGGAGCTGCAGTCGGGCCGCGCCTGACCCCCGGAGCCGGCGGTTGACGATGCGCTCTGCACGCGGGGACCCGCTGGCCCCCGGGCAGGGCAGAGGAGATGTTTAGGCAGCGACCCCCGAAGCAGGCTCGCTGCCCGCGGCCGAGCGCTGGGTCCCGCCGGGGCGCCCCTTCCCGGAGCGCCCCTCCCCGGGCCGTGGCGCGTCCCCCGAGTCTCGCAGTATTTCCTTCCTGCACCTTTAAGAAGGCCGCTGCTCCGTGGTGGGATGGTGTGTTCAAGCCACACAGAGGAAGTTACGCAGCCGGGATCAGACCGGGAGATAAAAGCCCGATGGTGCTCGTGAGTGAAGGCAAAGAGGATTTGGCCTCGGCATTAACTTGGAGCGCAGCGCGGGGGCCCCGGCAGCGCCCCGCCATCTGGCCCGCGCACGCCAGGGGAATGCCCCCGCGCCCGGACGAGGCGCCGCGAAGCCCACTCGGGCCCGGGGCGGCTGGGCGCCCAAGCGCGGGTCCTCCCCGAGCCGCCCGGGGGGCCCCAAAAGTTTGCACTTGTTAGCGGCCACCTCGGCTCGGCCGGGCGGGCGATGCGGCCGGCGCGCGCGGCCGCCCCCAGCCCCGGCCCGCGTCTCCGGGACAGCAGCGGGCCGCGCCCCGGGCAGCCGGAGGGAGCCCCGGCCCGCGTGTGACGGCGCCGGCGGCCGCGGTGCGGGGAACGAGCGCCGGCCCCGCAGCCTCGGGCCCGAGCGGGAGGCACAGCGGCGGCGGGCGGCGGTCCTCGGCCTCCCGGGTCTCCGCGCTCCGGGAAGCCGCTCCGAGTCGGGGTAAGGCGGCCGGGGAGCGGCCGGGCGGCGGCGGTGCGGGGCCCGGGGCCGGGGATGGGGAGAGCTGTGGCGGCGTGGCCAGCCCGGCTTCAGGTTGTCCCCCAGGGCTTCGGGGAGCCAGGGTGCCTCTCCCGGGACCGCGGAGCCACTTCCCGCAGCCTCGCCGGGCTGGGCGGCACAAAGTTGTGGCTCTGCGGCCGCTACTACGGAGGGCTGGCGCCGCGGGAGAGGGGCGTGTGAGCGCGCGCCGGCTGCAGCCTCTTAAAGGCGTCGCTCGGCTTTCTGGCCGGGTCCCCGCACCCCCGGCTCCGTCCCCAGCGTGCGTGTGGCTCGATCGCGGGGCGGGAGAGCCGCGAGGACGTCCGCAGCCCGGCGTTAACCCTTCCCGCGCGCCACTCCCCTGCCCCAGCCTCCAGAGCCACCTGCCCGCCAGCACGCACTAGGGCCCTCCCCGTGGCTCCGCGCCCTGGGGAACCAGAAGCTCCCGGGGCGGCCGCCGCTGGAAACTTCTCTCCGTGCGTGGAGGTGGGGGGGAATGTGGGGTGCTGGGAGGGGCTCGCGGGACTTGGGGACGCCGTGGAGTCGGACTCGAGCTGGTGGCGCGCGGGTGCAGGGAGTAGAGGCGGTGGGAAGCGGACGGCGGGCAGCGGGGTCGGTCCGCTCCGGAGTAAGTGGCCGGGCTGGACGGGGGGCGGCGGGGATTGGGGAACCCACCCGCGGGGAGCCCGGTTCCCGGCCTTTTAACTGAGGGGGTGGTGCTGAGTGAGTGAGGGGCGTCCTGGGCGCCGGCACGACCTCGAGGAGCCGAGACCGTGGGACTGTCACGCGCCGCTCGCAGTTAACTTCAGCAAGGCAGGGGAGCTGCGGGCTCGCCCCGCGCGGCCGTGGGTTACTTGCACCGCCTGCCGCGGGCTCGCAGCGCAGACCTCGAGCCCCGGCATCCGCGCTCGCGTCTGGGCGGCCCCGCTATCGCCTTCCGCGCCCCTCCCCGCGCACAACTTTTCGGGGCTCCCGGGACGCTAAGAGAGCGGAGGTACCAGACCCCCAAGTGCCCGCTGATCCGGCAGTGGGCGCTGGGCACCTCCGCTCCCCACCCTCCCCGGAGCGCTGGGTGGGAAAGTGACCCTGGCCCGGCGGGGCTACCACATTTTTTTCTCGCCCCCCCCCCACCCCGCAACTGTGGCTTTACCACCTCCAGCTGTGCTGCCCGGGAAGGGAACGGCCCCCATCCCACCCCACCGGTGGGGTGGGCTGGGTACACCCAGACGCCCCCGGGAGACCCCACGTCCCTAGCGGCAAGTTCTGCCCCAGGGCGCGGACAAGGCCGGCCACTCCCCAAGGAGGCTGCTGGTGAGCCCGGCCAGCTCCGAGAGGCGCTAATTCAATCAGACCGAGAAATGCGAGTTCAGAAATCCTGATAAAATCTAATTTTCGGGTTTTAATGCGCAGGCCATCAGCTCCCCCCGCCACCCCACCCCCCTTCTTGAGGACTCTTGAAAGAAAATAAAGCGCATTGATTCCATGTGTTTCTGGGCGCGCTGCATTCCTTAATAATATCAGGGGAAGATTTATTTTTTCGCCAGGATACAACCTTTTCCTCTGAAATTTCTCCTGCCGGCCACAGCTTCGCGGCGCGGACTCTCGCGCCCTGCACCCCCTTTCTCCTTTTGGAGGATAAATAAATAACAGCAGCCCCGCCGAGATCTTGGCGCGCTGGGCACAACTCGCCGAGGCATGCCTGCAACGCCCAGTTAACAAACATACCCCCACCCTTTGCAGATTTTGTTGGTGGGGATGGGGTGGGGTTCCTCCCCGCTTCCCACCCCCCGCACCCTGTCCCAGGCCATGCGTGGCATTTCCACTAACTACCGCCAAGCAGCCCGCAGATTGCAGAGTGGCCACGCGCGAGCGCGGCTGCTCCGCGCTGACCTCTGCCGCCCAAGCCCCTGCCGAACCGTGCGCGAACCCCCTACCTGTTCGCCCGCTGGGTTGCAGGCGGCGTGCGGGGCTGCCTGCCCTCAGACCTCGGTGGCCACACCGATTTATTTTTACTACGCCTTCTTGGGCTGCAAAAATAGATGCCTGGCATGTTCTGCGCGCCAGTTTTGCGGCGAGGAGCGCGTTCAAGGCCGCGCAGACTCCGTCCTAAGTTTCTCCCGAAGCCACCAGAGAGGTGAGCGGAGAGAAGCGAGCGAGCGCGGTGGCGAAGCCCTCGTCCTTCTGCATTAGCAGCCCTGGTGCGCGTTGCCCAAGGCAGACGGACGAGGCCGCCTGCAGCAGGAAGTGTGCCGGCTGGGGAGAGGGGGTGGAGGGTGGGGGGAGGCACCGAGCCAGCGCCCACCCAGCCTTGGTCCCTGTCTGCCCACCGCCACTGTCATTTTGCTTTGCGACGGGGTGGGGGGGACCTGTATGTGTCTAGATGGATGAGGGGGTGTCTCTGAAACACTTAACCTCTCAAGGACCCTAGAGGTCCAGTGGCTCCAGAGGACAATCAGTTGAGGCTCAGGCTGTGCCCACCCTGCCTGCCCAGCCACCAGGTGTGGACATTTAAATGCAACACCCAGGGGCGTGGCGAGTAGAATATCACATCCCATGGGCAGGCACCTTTGCCCCGTTACTGGCCAGGACCCCCGCAGCTGACTGCACTGCGGGGTGTTAGGGGATCTTTGAGCCTCACAAAGGCTTGGAACAGCACGGGTTGGGAAGCCTCCCCGGGGAGGGAAGGAGGAGGGAGGCGGCCCTGGGTCAGAAAGCCCAGGGGACAATGCACTCGCCCATCCCTGGGTTCTTTGAGTCCAGGGAAGCTTTGGAGCTGTTGGCCTATGTGGGTCCCCAATGCTACCCCCTCCAGCCTGCCTGTCCCAGCGCGGGTGGACAGGACACACTCCGGGGAGGCATGGCACCAGGACACACTCTGGGGAGGTGGAGTGTTGAGGAGTCTCACAGAGCACCTTCTCCAAATGCACAACTCTGATATCAATAAAAATAACCCAGTTTTCTCGGGAGACCTTGCTAATGCAGCCTCGTCTTTGCACATCTCTCCCGAGAGCTTCTGTTCACGCGCGTCTCCACCCCTCCTCCCCCACTCTTTTAATTTGTTGCAGGTGCCAGCGTTAATGAGCGCTCTCTCACATGCCTCCCGTAAGACACGCCTGGTCTCAAGTACCAGTATGCGCTGAGAGCTGAAGTCCCAGCAACTTGGTCAGAAGTTGCTAATGACCACAGCCAAGGTCAGCTGTCCCCCCTCCACTTCCTGCCCCAGCCCCTCACCAGAGCAGAGCCGAGCTTCTCCCCAGACTAAGCCCGCTCGGTTGTGTTTATCTTCTAGCCCCCGGCCTTGCGATTGTTGGCACTTTGGATCCCTGCGAAGAGAAATCTCTGATCAGTTGGAAATGCCAAGTCCAGTGCCAAGAAGGGAATGTGTTTCCTGCTAGTGTCTGCACCCCCGATTCTGCTGCATCTTTGCAATGCAGGTGGGGCAGGGAGGGGGGCGGTCACTGTGCGGCCAGTCGCCTTGAACCTGACGCCAGTTAAGGGCCCTTTAAAGACCTGGATTGATTGAAAGGACAAAAATTAAAAGCAATCGGATCCACCCTCGTGCCGGATCGCAGCCCCCGTCACCATCTGAGGGTTGTTCATCTCACCTCCTCCGACAGAGGTGCGACAGAGGTGTGAGGCCAAGGGCAGGAGGACACCAAGTGCTGCTCTCTGACCTGCCCGTCACAGCAGTCTGAAACGCTGGCTCCGAATTTTCCGGGTCGGCTCCCGGCTGTCGGCAGACCTGCAGCGCCCTGGGCCCTGGCAGATGTGGCCTTTCCAGGCTGAGGTTGCGAATCCGGTCTGACCCTGTCATCGTCACCACTGTCACTGCCGCCTCGCTGGGGCCTCTGGGGGCCACGCCCCTGGGCACTGCACAGCCATGCTGCTATACCTGCTGGCGTTCCTCTTACACGTGCTCCCGCTGGCCTCCGGGGCCTACGACATCTGCAAGTCCTGGGTGACCACGGACGAGGGCCCCACCTGGGAATTCTACGCTTGCCAACCCAAGGTGATGCGCCTGAAGGACTACGTCAAGGTGAAGGTGGAGCCTTCCGGCATCACGTGCGGCGACCCCCCAGAGAGGTTCTGCTCCCATGTAAGTTGGCCTGCTGCCCAGGCCAGGGGGCGGGGCGGGGGGGAAGGCAGGAGACCTTCAGATGCATGGGTGGGCCAGGTAATTTGAATCAGGCCTAGGAATCTGTCCATCCCCACCCATGGAATCGGAGAGTCATTCTGTACCTCCCACAAAGACCCCAGTTCTGGATGGAAGCCCCGCCCACTTGCAGTCCCCCAGCCTCGCTCATAGAAAGTCAACTGGAGGTGCTGTTTGCAACAGTACCCACCACTTCCCCCATGTGGTGCAAGCCCCCAACCCACCCAGTGCCGCTATGCAGACCGGACTGGGCAGTCAGGATGGGCTGGCCCTTTGCAAGAGTCCCAAGGGACTCTTGGCAGACCCTGCAGCCAGCACTCCTTCCAGCCCCACTCCCACGTGCCGTGACCACAGGCCATGGCCGAGTCAGGGAGGGCAGGTGGCCAGCTATGGGCAAAGGAGGCAGCTCCTGGCCTCAGTGGGCTGTGGGACCTCGGCAGCCGCAGACATGGTGGCAGAGATCACAGGGAGACCCTTGGTGAGGGATACCACCCCTCAGCGCCCCTCCCCCCACCGGGCCAACCCAGCCTGTGCCGGTCAGTGGAGGGCGGGGCAAGATGGCAGCGATGGCATGCTGAAGCAAGCAGATCCTCGGGAAGTGCTCCGGATGCATCTGGCATGGAGCAGGTGCTGTGTCCGTGTTGGCCTCGTTATTCCCATGATCCAGATGGGCAAACCAAGGCAGCGGGCAGGGAGGCCACACACCAGCAAATGGTCCAGCCATAGGGGCTCTCCCTGGGCGCAGTGTCAGTGAGCTGAGACTGCCCCTGGAGAGGTGCCCTCCCTCCCTGGCATAAGGCCGGGCAGCCCAGCCGGGCTGTAGGAAGGACTCGGATCCTTCGAGTGCCCTTGACCAGGGTCTCCAGGCCTCTGGGGCCCTGGCAGGGCTGGCCTGGTTTCCCAAGCTGGGCCTTTTGAGGACGGCTTGGTCCCATGGGGCCATTTCAGTCACAGCTCAGAGCAGTCAGCCAGGCAGGTCCCCCCTTGGGCTTGTCAGAGGTGATAAGGCAGTCGCCGTGGGTGGTGGCTGGGCCCTGGGCCAGCGGGGGAGGACTGGAGGGGAAGATGCAGGAGGCTGGACGGTCCAGGGACAGCCCTGCCTGGGCAGGCTCAGCAGGGCCTCCCTGGCTCAGGGTCAGGGGGCTGGGCCTGACGGGGGCGGGAAGGGCTCTAGGGCTAAGTGCAGATCTGAGCCCAAGGCAAAGCCAGCCGTGTCTTGTCTGTGCAGTGTCAGCATTGCCTAAATGTGGTATGGACGGGGTAGGGGACACTGCATTGTAAGTTGGAGATCTTGACCAAGGGCCCTCCAGGTCCACTCCTGCCCACAGCTGGCTCTGGACAGGCTCAGCTCTGCACCTGTTCCATCCCCACCCTGACTCGGAACCCAGGGCCGCTGCAGGGGGGCCGGCCACCCTTCACATGCCTGCCTGCCGCAGAGCTGGGCAGCTGAGCCCAGGCCTCCCGGAGGGAGCTCTCTTGCTTTTGCTTTTCTTGTTTCTCCTGGGAAGTCAGAGGAAGAAGAGCAGCAGCCCAAGATCCCCGGCAGGGCTGCCCCTGGGGTCGGCTTGCCTGCTTGACGGACGGAACAGTTGATCCCAGGCTGTGTCCAGCTCTTGCCTTGGGGACCTGGGAGCTGGGCAGGTGGCCTGAGTGATGGAGCCTGGGCACTGTGTGTGCCTCGGTGGCTCCTGTAGGAGGTGCAGTCTGCTCCAGGGCCCTCTCAGAGTGTGCCAGGTTACCGAGGCCCGGCTGTCACCTGCTTGCCCACCAAGGGGCACAGCACCCTTGCCCACCCGCCCCTGTTCAGGCATGAACTTAATCCCCTGCAGCCCCCTGTTGTTGCAGCCAGCCACCAGGGGGCGCCCTGATGGCATCAGACGGGCCCACAGCCACCTTACTCTGGCAAAGGCCGCGTGGCTGCTGCCTGCTCCTGTCCCCTCGTCTGGCCTGTCCCAGGGCACCCTGAGTGCCAGGGGAGCTGAGGGGTCGTCCCCCCATTGCCCGCCCAGGCCTCTCGTCCTTGGTAGGACCCGTTGAGAACTGCATTGTAAATTCCAGGTTGGAGAGGAAGGGGAGGCGGGTGAAAGACAAGATGAATGAATAAATAAAAACCTATTGGCTCTGAACGCACAACAGGAATTAATAGGGATGAGCTCCCGGCCGAGGGTTCCTGGGCAAGGACACGATTTCCATGAGGCCGGGCAGGGATGGGGCGGCCCCACCCCCACTGCCGGGACTCTGGGGAAGCTGTTGGGCGGGAGGGGAGGGAAGAGGGTGCTGGGCTCTGGTCTGGCATCCCTCAAAGGCAGAAGCTGCACTGGGGAGCCCTTGGGGGTGGGGAAAACACAGCTGGGCAAGTGGTGCTCTACCCGAGGGGTCTCCTACCTGGGCCCCCGGGTTGGGGGAGGCCCTTTCTTTGTGCCTTTGAGCCACTTGAGACACAGGGGGGAAAGAATGCCAACCCCAGCCTTGCCACCCAGCAACACAAGCTCCCCTGTTACAAATGCAGAGCCCCAGACCCCACCCAACCCTGCATTGCTTTATTTTGTTATTTATTTACACATAGAGAGAGGGAGAGACCGAGAAAGAGATCTTCCACCCACCAGTTCATCTCCCAAAAGGCTGCGTCTGGCTGGTCCGAAGACAGGAGCTTCTTGTAGTACTCTCCTGTGGGTGCAGGGACCGAAGGACCTGAGTCCTTCTCCACTGCTTTCCCAGGACATCAGCAGGGAGCTGCATGGGAAGTGGAACAGCTGGGACTCGAACCAGCACCCACTGTGGGTCACAGGTGTCACAGGCAATGGCGTAGTGCCAAGCCCCAGACTCCTGCATTTTGACCAGAAGTCCAGAGGCTGCAACGTGTGGATGCAGACAGAGCTGATGGTGGAGGAAGGGGTGGGCAGCCTGTGGATGCTGTGTCCTAGGGACCAGGGCAGCTTTGCCTAGGGTGGAAGGAAAGACCCTGAAGCATAGGATCGTAGCTAAGGGCCGAGGCCCCACCCAAAGGCCGCCTTCACCAAGGCCAGAGCCCACACTTCACTCTGGGCAGGAGCTGGAGAGGGGTGGCCCAGGCCCTGGAGGATGCCTCCCAGTGTGACCTGCTGCCCAGGCCTGTTTCCCTACCTGCAGAAAGGGGCGTGGCCCTGGCCATCTCCCCACCTCCTCGCAGAGCCGCCATTCTGCTCTGCTCTGGCCCAGCCCAGCACTGGCCCTCGCTTGGCCCTGTTATGTCTTGACTTGGGGAATGCCTGGGGGTCGGTGTGCTTTATCCATAGAGACCCTAAAGAGAGAGAGGCTGGACTGTAGTGCTGTGTGATGCTCGGCATCCGACGTGAGCTCCCTGGCCTGTGTTCCTCCCACTCAGGGCTAGTGGCAGCAGGTGTGCTAAAAATGCTGATACCAGGACCCTAGCTCCCAGGGTTTGGGGTTCACCCCCGCCTTGGTCTGTCACCTGTATCTGTGCCCGGGCCGGGCGCCCCCTTTCTTTGCTCAGTCCGTGCTCAGACAAGTGGGGAGGGAGGCTGGTGTGATCCAGGAAGGCTGCTTGGAGGAGGAGAGCTTGGGGCTGCATCTTGGGGAAGGAATAATGGGGAGGCCCATAAGTGCCTGCATCCTTCCCAGAGCTGAGCAGCTGGCTTTTCCAAGGGGGTAGGTCTGGACAGGGACCCCTGCCCCCACATACCATACCCCTGCCAAGGAGGGCAGCAGGCAAGGCAAATGAAGGACTGGCAAGTCTTCCCAAAGAGTGTGTGTGTGGGGGGGTTCCTCTCCCTGCGTGTCCACGCAGCTGCCTAAGCTCTGTCCTTGCTGTCCCTGCTGCTGCTCCTTTCGCAAGCTGCTCCAATCTCACGCGTGATGAGGCAGGTGAGAGGTGGCCAGCCACACAGGCAGGCTCAGTCAGTGCTGTGGCTGAGAGGTGGGCTCTGGGCTGGGGCTGATGGGGCTCAGGGCTCCCCTGGGCTTGGAGACCCCAGGTCTGAGACATACCTTGCTGACGCCAAGCCTCGGTTTTCTCATCTGGAAATGGGGTGCCACGTGACCAGGCATCCAGGAGTGGGCTGTGTTCTAGAAGTTAGCTCAAGGGCCATAAAAGTGGTAGGGCAAAGGAGGGCGAGGTGCCAGGCAGGAGACGAGCCGCAGGCTGATCATGGCGGAGGGGAAGGTGTGTGTAGCAGTTTTGCTTAAATCTAAGAAAACGAGGTTCTCACACCCAGAGCACCCCCAGCTGCAGAGGACGAGCTGATGGGAGCTGAGTGTCCCAGCCCTGGGGACTGGAGATCTTTGCCCCACCTCCAAGCCTCAGTTTCCCAGGCTGTCTGACCCCGGGGTTTGGCTAAATGGATCACTTCAGGTCACTGAGAGTCAGGCAGACAAGGGGTGTCCAGCCTGTCCATGCCTGTGCCTGGCGTAGCGTGGAACGGATCAACAAGACGTTTGTGAAACTTCCAACACATTGTTTTTTCATGGCGGTAAAATACAGCTACCTTTGGGAATCTCCTAGGACCTGTTGGCACACACGGATTCACAGCTGCCCTCTCCTTATGGGCCGTTAGGGCCGTCCCTCCCCGGCCCCAAGCCCCGGCCCTCACCGGTCAGCGTTACCTCTGTGCACCTGTCTGTTTTTGGATGCCAGAGCTCACAGCTTCTCGTAGCTCTGTTCTCCCACTCACAGCGGTCACGTGTCTTGTACTTCGTTCCCTGTAGCCGTGTGCCATTTACCAGGCAGTGGGCACTTGCATTGTTTGTGCTGTGGGGCTTCCGTGAATCTGTTGCTAAGAGCAGCTGTGTGTAAGGTTCTCACGTCACAGGGTAGACAGCTTGCAGTGGAGTGGCTGGGTCCCGTGGTGAGACCGTGTTGGACTTGTGGGGAGCTGCAGAGTGCCCCACACAGAGGCTGTGCCATCGCACGCCCCCTCCAGTCCTGCACAAGTTCTCATTCTGTC